AAACTTTTTTGTCTAATGATTCTTTCATTCCTTTTGGGAGGTTAAGCTAGAATGGAACAAACCTTTTTTGTCTAATGATTCTTTCATTCCTTTTGGGAGGTTAAGCTAGAATGGAACAAACTTTTTTTGTCTAATGATTCTTTCATTGCTTTTGGGAGGTTAAGCTAGAATGGAATAAACTTTTTTTGTCTAATGATTCTTTCATTGCTTTTGGCAGGGTAAGCTAGAAATGTACATGATTTTGTGTCTAATGATTCTTTCATTGCTTTTGGCAGGGTAAGCTAGAATGCAACATGCTTTTGTGTCTAATGATTCTTTTGGTACTAGTGTTTATTGATCTCGACAGATTAAGTAGGTTACAGTGTTAAAAGCGACTAAAACTGTTATACACACAGGAAGGAAACATGTTCACATCTGGAGAAAATGTTTTTTTTTCTTTACTTCACATAAATAATGTTTTGAATTCACGTGTTCAAACTTCCCTTCGTTTCCTGTGAGTATTTTAGTTGCCGACTTGTGTAGAGAAAATCTAGAATGGTAGTACGTTTTTCTTTTTTGTTTGTTATACCAGCACCTCCTGATTGGTGTGCTTTCTATTAGCGCGTTTTCATATTAGGCAACTTCGATTTAGCGCGGTTTTGAAATAGAAAAGGGGGACTTTCCAGTGCAACTGCGCATGCGTGAAAGTCAACATGTGCACAGTTTATCTGTGAGGGGGTATGCTCTTATTTCCAGGTTTATTTAATGTTTGAATATCTAATTAACATCATAAAACACGTTTCGATGTCCAGAAAATTTGCACGTATTATGATGTAAACTTAACATTGTAGTTACACTGTATGGTTTTAGTAATTTTTATTAAAACTGTAAATTTGTGTTTGCGTTTAAGCACACAACACATGTCCTTTTAGTCTGTTAACTTAGACTGTAAAAGCTGATCCCCTACATATGTGTTTTGCTCCCCCCCCCTCCCGAAAATATTTCTGTGGGCGTCTATAAATCTTTGTTAAGACTACTTCTATTTGACGTTTATCATCTCATTATCACCGTGTGGTGTACATATGCACGTGCGAAACAAGGCGTTGGTTCCAATACACTTACCTCTTTATCCTTTGGTAATGATGTTCGGGTATTTAACAATAGACTACATTCAAACTAATACTACCGTTACAAGTGGTTAGAGCACGTGCTAACTGTTCGGAAGATACACGTACCTTTGAGGACGTGAAATGTAGATGGTTGCTAAGCCTTATTATTGGTGTTAACAATGTCCTGTCATTACAAATTATTGGCAGGCGATGTTCTGTCGTAACAGCTGGTCTGTTAAAAATGACCCCCCCCCCCTCCCGCCATCAGCCAGTACCACGTGCAAGATTAATATTAATTTTATTTTTTTTTCTTCAAATTACATGGGAATTACTACAGTAAAGCATGTTATATAAAGTATTTTTTCTTGATTTATGGCAAGTTGGTAATTACTTGGCTGGCAGACTACCTTACAAAAAAAACACACACAAAAAAAACAATGTCACCTTTTATTACCTGGTGGTTTGAGTGTTGCGCTCAAACTGTTTGAACTCAATAACCTACGCAGAAAGAAACATTTTTCAAACTGACCATGGGTACCCACAGAAATATTTTTAGGGGGGGGAGAAACATGTATGTAGGGGGATCAGATTTACAGTGTAGGTTGAAAGATTAAAAGAATGTGTGTTGTGTGTGCTTAAACACAAATTTACAGTTTCAATAAAAAATTACTAAAAATATATAGTGTAACTACAATGTTAAGTTTACATCATAATACGTGCAATATTTTGTGAAATGTAAGGGGGGGGTCAAATGCCCCATCCTACGGGCGCCCATGAAACTGACACATAAGCAATATGTTTGTTGAATTCCACAAGAAAAAGAAACTGGACTAACTTTCAACATTTATGTATCTTAAGCTATTATTTGAGTTTTATATTCTGGACTCAATAACCAATAAACGTTTCTGAGATGACAGGACAACTATTAGAAAACACACGATATAGTCTGGATTATCTTACCTTTGAAATACAAAATGAAATGTTCAGTCAAAGCGTTTTTCATATCTTCGACGATCGAAGCTTGAACGTATTTTAGACGATTATCAGAAATCTCTAGAAATCTAAGGTTCATAGCTCCCAGAAAAGCATGATTGGGTAGTTCCTTTAAGCGGTTGTGGTTTAGCTGAAGCGTGGTCAAGTACTTGAGACCGTTAAAAGCACGGGGTCTAATCTCTGAAATTTGGTTATGTTTCAGGTCGAGTTCCTGAAGTCTGGGTGTTCCACTAAAAATGTCAGTTCCTAAAACAGCTAAGTTGTTTTTGTACAAGTCCAGACGACGAAGGCTTACGAGTCCAGAAAGGCTGTTCTGACTCAGATGGCTAATCCGGTTGTTCCATAGTTCCAACTCGGACAGGTTAGGTAAGTGGACAAAAGTATTGTCTTCAATCCATGTAATGTTATTTCTATCCAAAAAGAGAAAGGTCAAACGAGGTAAGTTGTAAAACGATCCTTTTCTTAACTCCTGAATGTGATTTTCGCTAAGTGAAAGTTTAGTTAGAACTGGAAGGTTCGAAATACTATGTTTTCCTAAGCCTCGTATTTCATTTCTTTCCAATATAATTGTTCTCAAATGTTTTTTGTGAGAAAAGCTGTTTTTTTTTAAAGTTCCTAAAGACGATTCCTTTATGTAAAGTTCTTCCACCAATGGAGTTCTCGCTAGGGATTCCAGGGGGACGAACTCTAGAGGGTTAGAGGGACGTGAGGTAAACGAAAGTTGTTTAACTCTGCTCTGTCGGCTGAATCCTTTCCAGATTTCGTTGTTGTGATCCACAGGACCGAATATGTAGCAGGAAATGTCGGTTGCTTCGTCCATTCCTTCTTCATCACAGGTGCAGTATACTGAAGCATTAGCAGAGGCGGAGTTACATAACACAACGTGTTCTCCGTTCACTTTACCCTCCGATAAAGGCCACAGCAATATCAACAGATAAACAACCTTTAACAGCCTTTTCGTTGTCATTTCTACGAAACCTTTATCTGAAAAACAAAAACGCCCAGTCTAAAACTTCACATTTATATGGAATGTATCTTCTGTTGGTGGCAAGATTTATTAAGAGTATAGAAAATTAAACTATAGTAAAAGTCCTAGTGAATATAAAACAAAAAATGATTCTTGTATCGTAGTCTTAACTTCGACCAAATACGTAAATAATAACGAGACAGACGAAAGAAAGTCACTACACGACCTCCGACACAGGGAACAAATTAGTTTCTTCAACACAGAATAAAGTAATTAAAAAATAACGGCTCGTATATCTTGCATTAATACAACCCGCTCTGCTTTTTTATTTTCTTTTTTTATTACCACACTACAATTACACAACCACCTGCAACAGTCTGTTCAAAACCATCAAGCTTTCCTTCAGGCGAAAGGATGACGAACCTGCGCTTAGCCTTGAAAGCAGTCACTTTCTTGTTTGGCAAGTTGTTGGAGTTCAGTAGAGAGAAAATCAGCCAGTTATAAATCAATATTTTAAATCAACTCGTTCTAAACTGAATAACTAACGGAGGTTGCATAGTATAACAACAAACAAATCCTGTTTTTCTGGGTGGTCTTTGTAGGTATTATACAACAAAGTTCATGAAAATTCAATCACTTTTCACTCGAATAAGAAACGCTTACATTTGCCACCCACGTTATTACTACTTTTAATTTGTAGTGTTGATAAAGTTAACTTAAGTCGTGGGTTGTGTTCTATTGGGCGTTCTTTCTAGTTATGTCACAAGTCAAATGGGTCATTATCAAGAACCTATATTACTCGATGACGTTAGTTTCCTTACAAGATTCCTGTTAAAACGCCCATCTAGACTTTCGGAATTAAGGTTACAATGATATCACCATTACAAATAACTGCTTAGTTATTAAATGTGCCAAGCGAAAACTACTGTTAAAATTCGGTCAGTCTACGAGTATCAATTACTTCTTGATAAAACATCTGTAGAGTATACGTTTTTATTTATTTACTTTGACACACAAACAGACAACGAAATGTATTTCAGGACGTTCATTCGGTTAATAGCATGGAACTTAATGATAATGGTGCCCCTGTCCACCGACTCTTGGATTATAACCAGCATGGTATTCTTGTCCACCAACCCTTGGATTATAATTTATCAAAAGTAACTAATTTGTTTTTAGCAATCATGGACTTCAGGTCCAGAAAAGTTGTTAAATAACTTCCACAAGTTAGAACAAAACCGATATAGTTATAGTACTTATAACAGTGTTTTTAAAACCGTGTTATATTGTTTTAAGACAGAATAAGAGGTCATTTTATTGATAACTATCACAAATAAGTTTGAAGAACTGTACCTTATATAAATGGAACAAGTAGCTTCAGTAACGACGAGTGAATCAAGAGAGAGTTACGTCTTCAGAAGGAATGTAACGTAGATTCAATATCTGTAGATTGACTTTTGATCTCAAATCACTTTGAAAAATGGGTTATGTCTTCAGAGGATAGCTTATGTGGTTTTTGGAGACAGTAATCTGTGTTGACAAGGGCATTAGTTACGATACAATGTAGCTCCAAGAGAACGTTGATTAGAGTTGAAATATCAGTGCATCTCTAAATCTAGTCTCTTCTTTCAACTTGTACAAACGTTTTCTGTTTATTTCGAGATTTTCCTGTGCGTTTGGAAAAAACTTCTAAAGTATTCGTGTGATAGAAGGTAAATATTTCAAAGCAAGTAGCAGCCTTGACGTTTTGGGTTTCTATCACTGACGTCAAAAGGGCAAAGTTCTTTTTGTTCTTCTATATTCTTGTTTTCCTCTTAAAGAGTTCGAAGAAAGCGTAATCAGTAGGAAATTTAAGCAACATGTTTATAGTTGGAAAATGTAAAGACAGAAAATTGTAGTTTTTGTAAGAGCCTGAAAACTTCAACAAGAACAAAGAAAGAAAATAAACTTGGTCAAGTAAAAACTATATAAACAAAGTTAACACTTACTTTACAGACTTCCGCTTTTATTTTGTTTTAGGTATGAGCACATTAACTTATTTATCCTGAACCTAGTCTAATTCTTTAGATATGATCACTAACCCACGCAAAGACACCAGAGAAACATAATAAATGAATCATCATTGAACTCGTCACTAGAGAAATAACATTGCACAAGAGTGAGCTTTGAAAACTTCGGACTCCACCTTACTTCTAGACGTTAACTTATAACGACAAAAACATTTACTGTACCGACTTCGTTACACGTAACAAAAAAGCACGAACATAATTTATAACAAAATTCAAAACTTCGACATGGTTTAAGGTTATCTAAATTCTGTACAGCTAATAGTATACATTTCTTAGAGTTTGAATCAGGAGAAATATCCCAGCCTTATTTTTATAGTGTAAAACATATGTGTAATAAATTATATATATATTTTTTTAAACTAGGGTTTAAAACAAAGATTGTGGTTTTAACACCGTAAAGTTGAACAGAGTGATCTAATGGGGAGTCGTAAACTTAACTTCCCACACAAGGGTAATCGTTATCGAAAGTACCACAAGCGTTAATGGTGCCCAAACTTTACCTTCCTAAATAAAGATATCGAAATATGGAACTGAAGTTTGGTGAGTTTGTAAATCACTATTCGGTCAAACTCGTATTCTTTCAGAAACACAGCAGAGACGAGCATTGTCATCCATTAGGCTGAAATCAGGGCCTATAACACAAACATTTCACATCATAATGGTAGTGGAATCTGGTTTATGTAAAGGTGGTACTAACAGTACCATTCCGCAGGACCGTACCATATTATAAACATTGTCATACGCATCACACTCCCGTATAAAAAAACAGATTTGGACCTGGTTCCAGATTATATCTAAACTATTACATAGTTTAAAGGTGAAACGTGTCTTATCTGTTAAGAAATAAATAAATACACATGTCGTTGGTCCACTGTATGTGTTCTTGGCACCACCTCAGTTTGTTTCGTGTCTTGATACAAGTAAGTACCCCTCTCCGAGAGTCTGATATCCAGGCTGGACTAGCGAAGTCCAGTGTGTACATAAACTGTATCCAGTTGCGGCTTCGAGCATTTGATTCATTATCAAAACAGATACTGTCTGAACTCAAAGACTCAGAAGTTTGAGCAACTCCGCCATTGGCTGGAAAGTAGTTCCACATCCTCTTAAGGACACTTTGAGTGGCTTGTAGCCAATTTACAACATCCTGCTTTGATTTTCCGGCTTCCATCCCTCCAATAGCTCTAAACATTAATATTGAGAGTTCTAGCCATTATTCTTGAACAATATGAAGCTTTGAAACTATGCTTGTCTTCAAAGTAACCGAGGGAAGATTGTTGAGGCATCTTTTTATCATTCACAGTTTAATAAACCAACAAGTAGAAAATACCAAGTACCACAGGTTTCTACCACACGAGACAACTACACCAACAAGTAGAAAATACCAAGTACCACAGGTTTCCCTCACATGAGACAACTAAACCAATACACTTATAAAGTTGTGATCCTTTATTAAAAGACACGTTACGTTTCAGCTTAGTATTTAAGCGCTAAAGCTATCAACTGGACGTTTTTGTTGGGGTTTATAGCCAAAAACGATTAGTTGTGTCCTGCTGAAAATCAGAATATTTAATGGTTCACAGTTTGCTCATCACATAAATTCGAATTCACTGCTCCTTTACGACGCGCCACGTATTACTTCCACCATAAACAAGTTGCTGTCACATGAAAACCGATATTGCCACGTGCGTCAACCTGAGCTCGAAGTTCTTTTGTTCAACGTCTTCGAACCTTGTTGTTCCCATCGTTTATGTTAGTCAAGGTTCAAAGACCCTTTGATTCAATCCAAACTGTACTGTACCCCTGACAACTTACACCCCTTCGAACTTTACTACAATTATAATTCTTGATAATTTAGTTTCAACCCTTTCAGCTGTGTTGCTGTTTTTACCACCGAGAATATGGATCTGTAACCACTTTATTCAACCCTTCCAATGTTGATCCTTAACAACAGGAACCGGAAAAACTGATTCAACTGTAGACTTTTCTAACGACACGGATTTCTCGATTTACTATCCTTGGACTTTGTTTCTCCTAGACTCAACTCGTCTTTAGTCTCTCACTTTTATTTTTAATTCAGTAACGTCGTCGTAATGAGCAACCAAGATAAGTTTTCTTACTCGTTTAAAGAGTTTCGTGTAGAAATAACGTCTTTTCACCAATTTAACAAATTCATCAAACCAACTCAGATCAAATTCGCTGTCGTCAAAATATTAAAATGCAAAATATGATTTTAAAAAAAGAAAAAAAAAGGCCCTAACTGGAACCATCATATCGAAATCTTGGTGAAGGTTATGCCTCATTCTATTGTTATAAAACCAGGTTCGATCGTAATCTTGAATGTACTCAACATTTATAAAAGTTTGTCGGGTTTTTTTCGTAAATGATTCTGGTTGATTATGTCAGTTTTTCGTAAGACTCAAATGCATGAACTAAAATTAAACCACAAAAGAAAAAAAAACACACAAACTAAAACTAAATCAACTAAACAAGACACACGTGAACTAAAACTAAACCGAAAAATTAAGAACCCCATAAAATAAAACTAACAAGTTTATTGAGTATTGAGAAAGTCTAAGTACAAAATATATACAAGTTCAACAGATTTTAAGTTCAATAAAAAATAAATGTTAACTTAATTCATAATATCGATTAAAATCAAAATGATATAGCTAAAATATTTCTGTTAAAATGATATCGAAATGAAATTATCCGTCTTCACAAGAGCTTAATGTGATTGTTTATTATTGTAAATAGTTTCGTTTTACAATCAGAACCAAAACGTTTTGCTTACCTGCTTCAACAGTAATCACAAGCTAGACAACTCGATAACACTCTCGCTGCTCACTGACTGAGAAAGGAACAAAATCGACGTGCCCTACTTTGAGTTCTGTACGTGCCGAACTGCTTGCTTTCACGTGCACTGTGCAACTATCAAGAGAAGCCCACACATAATCTCCGTAGCGTCTGGAGTTGAGAATACCATGCAAGAGTATTCTTTTGTTAAAAAGTTTGCGAGAGGGGGGGGGGAATCAATCCAAATAAACTGGTTTGTTGACTAAGAGGTGATATTTTCCCTAGAATCTTCGAGTGACGAAAAGATTCAAAAAATGTAAATTTCTGTGAGTTATGGCTAGAACAAACAAGTTTAAACGTAACACAGTTAAGAGCCATGGACTAAAACGCAACTAATTTCAATATAATATTTCTTTAAATTATACTGCTTTAGGCTAAAACTTTTATCTTGCCAGTTGACATATCTCTGAAACAACCCTGAGGTAAAACGCAGACAATTAAAAAAAATGTGTAAGTAGGCTTAAAGAGCATGCGCATGCACTGAAGTGACACTTGCGCTAAAGAACAAGGTCAGTTACAAGTGGTGACGGCTATAAACGTACTTTTCTGTTTGTTCTTTCAAACACAGACATATATATATATGTCTTAAATCCGTGAACATAAATTACAAGAAAAGACTTCAGCTGAAGTCTAGTGACATTAGGTCTGCTTAAGATAAATAATAGGTGAGAATACTGTACAATTGTGTTCATTCATCGAACTCGGACAACAAAGATTTTTTGTGCGTTTCATAATTAATTCGTTAGGACTATTTGCTTTATGGCTTGTTCATGTTTTAAAAATTATATACACTGGAAAAATTATTTTTTAGTTGTTTTTATTTTGTAAAGACATAAATTCTTGGTATCACAGCTATGAAAATACAAAATATTTTGTCACCACAGATGTGAAAACACAAACATACGACCAGTATGGTGGAGTGGTAGCTGAACATTCGTTTGTACCCATGAGATAAGTTAAGGCAGAAATTTCACTCGTGAAAAATAAAATACATTAAATATTAACCATCATGTTGCATATACATTTCTATTTCCCACAAAATAGAAATGTATATTCAACACGATGTCTGTATATTCAACACGATGTCTAGTGTGAAATAGAAATGTATATTCAACACGATGTCTAGTGTGAAATAGAAATGTATATTCAACACGATGTCTAGTGTGTAATAGAAATGTATATTCAACACGATGTCTAGTGTGAAATAGAAATGTATATTCAACACGATGACTATTGTGTAATTGAAATGTATATTCAACACGATGTCTAGTGTGAAATAGAAATGTATATTCAACACGATGTCTAATGTGTAATAGAAATGTATATTCAACACGATGTCTAGTGTGAAATAGAAATGTATATTCAACACGATGTCTAATGTGTAATAGAAATGTATATTCAACACGATGTCTAATGTGTTTTCAATTACACAATAGTCATCGTGTTGAATATACATTTCTATTACACATTAGACATCGCGTTGAATATACATTTCTATTACACATTAGACATCGCGTTGAATATACATTTCTATTACACATTAGACATCGCGTTGCATATATATTTATATTACGTATTAGAGTTCAAGTTGTATACAAATTTATATTACACATTAGACTTTATGTTACATATAAATTTATATTACACATTAGACTTCATGTTACATATAAATTTATATTACACATTAGACTTCATGTTACATATAAATTTATATTACATATTAGACTTCATGTTGCATATAAAGATGTATCATATATTAGCTAGTCAACTTATGCATTGAAATCTCGAGTTTGCTGGAACTTTGGTGATGACTAAAAATGTGGTTGTTACGGTCTTTTCATGTCTGTTTTTAAACTGTTGTGGCATTTATCATGGAACTGAAGACTGAAATATTTGAA